TAACATTACAGACATGAGCCATGGGCACCCAGCTTAATTTTTTTTTTTTTAGAGTGTATTGTACTCTTGCTCTGTAACTGGGATAATTTTTTATTGGTTGAAATAGGATCAACTTTTTTTGCCTAGACTGGCCTTGAACCTCGATCTTCCGGTATCCACCTTCTGACTAGCTAGGATTACAGGCATGAGTTACTTCATCCTCATCCGTCAGTGCCATCTCTTCTTTTTCTTTCCTTTCTTTTTTTTTTTTTTCCTGGTGGGACTGGGGTTTGAATTCAGGGACTGGTGCTTGCATAGCAGGTGCTCTTTCACTTGAGCCACACCTCCAGTCCACTTTGCTCTGGTTACTTTGGAGATAGGGATCTCTGGAATTATTTGCCCAGGCTGGCCTAGAACTGTGATCCTCCTGATCTCAGCCTCCCAAGTACCTAGGATTACAGATGTGAGCTTCCAGCTTCTGGCTCATGTCTTCTTAATAAATGCTTAAAACTGGTCTTCCAAAGAGAGAAAAAAGAGATTATAAAGAACCAGTCAGTCTGTGACAGGGGCTTCTCTGACTTTACTGTCTTCCCTTGACACCAAGGCATGAAGTTGCCCTGTCCTGGTTATAGCTCTGAATCCATGCCGCCAAAAGAAACCCTTTTTCTTGCAGAAGCAAATCTGCTTCTCAGCATTATAAAAAAGCAGAATCAAATTTCATTCCATTTTGTGTGTTCTGAAGCTGTATAGTGTCACTAAAATGGAAGATGAGAGCTGCATTCCACACCACAGCTGGTCTGGCCTTTGGCTGAGCCCCCACCTCTGGTCTGGATCCACCATTGGTTGGGTACAGAGAAAAAACCTTTTCCTTTTCATGTTAGGTTCTCCAGGTGTCACTGGCTAACAGATCCTTTGTCTAGTGTAGGATAGAAACTGAAAATGGGGGTGGGGTGGGGGATAATTCAGTGGTAGAGCACTTGCCAGTATGCACAAGGCCCTGGGTTTGATCCCCAGCAAAACTAAAAAGAAAGAAAAGAAATCAGACATGGCCTCATTTTGAAGCAAAGGAAAAGTGAAAGTTGATTACAGAACAGAAGTACAGTGAGCTACCACATAGAGTAGCCTTGAACAGAGATGCACATTTCATTTTATAGGAAAGGCTTGAATAACCATGCTTTCTCAGGTACAGCAGCTGTTCAGCAGGCATGCAGACACTTTTTACACAGCTGCGAATGTGTCTATATTTGTGTTGTACCTCCGCTCCACCCCCCACTCCATGCAAATTTGACTATACCATACCACAATAGAGTATTAACCACAAAGAAGAACAAAATCATGTCATTTGCAAGAAAACATATGAAGCTGAAGATCATCATGATGGGCGAGATAAGCCTGACTTAGAAAGACAAATACTGAATGTTTTCTCTTGTATGTGGAATCTAGATTAAAAAAAAAACAAACATGCAAATAAAAAGGAAGACTATTTGGGAGGGGGGGAGAACAAGAGAGGATAAGGGAGGAGTGAATATGATCCAAATACATTATATACATGTATGAAAATGTCACAGTGAATCTGATTCTGTACAATTAATATATGTTAATTTAAAAAGAGAAATGAGGGTAAAGTCTCTGTCAGATTCCTTGCCATCTTAGTGGTCGCAGGTCTTAACTGTTTTGCCATAGTTCCCTGGTTTCCTGCTTTTGCAAGAAGTACAGCAGCCTGCCTGCTGCTTCCCCATCTCACAGGTGGAGACCCTGTGAATTAGATGGGCCAAAGACAGATCAAGAAGAGAAAAACAAGCAAATTTATCAGCATGTGCTTTGCTTTAATGCAGGAGTACCCAGCGCTGATTAACTCAGTGAGGGGAGGCGTTAGAACTTGAGTTTGTATTATCATCTTAGATGAAAACAGAGGAAAAGGGGTTTGAGGTTCTAGGAAGGGGAGGAAAATTATGGGAAGGTACCCAGGGAAACTATGTTTAACCAGGGTTGTTTAGAAAGCTTTGTTGTGCCTTCTCCACTGATAAAAGTCAGTCATTAAAGATCCTCTTCTTCCTTAGGTGGCAGAGGGAGACATTTCATAGACATCTTCATTACAGATGTAGATTTCCTTTACAAAGTGAAAATGTGTGCCTTTTTTTTAGAGCTTGCCCTATGTGTACTGAATCTCAATGGTCTTTAGTTCAGAATCATTCACATGCTAAAGAAGCATATTTTGGGGGGAATATTCTGGCACCCCTCAGTGGCTCACTGTGCTCTACCTACACTGGACGATCTCTTCTATGGAGTAAGTGGGTGCCAACCTCAGGCCCCTTGCACCTGCTATTCCTTCAGATTTGTTCATTCATTATTTATTTATATTTTTGAGACATAGTCTTACTACCTGGCTGAAGCTGGCCTCAAACTCCTGAACTCAAGCAATCCTGTTGCCTCAGTCTCCCAAGTAGGACTATAGGTGTGTGCTTCCTGACCAGCTCCATCATTAGTCACTCCACTCTTCACAGCACTTGTAACTATCTAAAAATTATATCTTTAAGCTAGTGGACTGGCTCAAGTGGTAGAGAGCCAACCTAGCAAATGTGAGGCCCTGAGTTCAAACCCCAGTACCACCAACAAAACAAAACAAAACAAAAAACAAACCAAAATAACCCAAAAAAACAAAGAACAACTATTTCTTTGAAAATGGCTGAATTTTGGGGTTTATCCATTATTGACCAGTGGGAAGTAAGGCGACATGATAATTAAAAGGCTCTTCTCTGCTTCTATTAGGATTGTCCTTCTCTTCGGCAACACAACTTTATGATGTCGGTTTTGTTTTGCTGTGGTGCTGGAGGATGGAGCCCAGGGACTCATGCATGCTAGGCAAGTGCTCTGCTACTGACCACATGCTCAGTCCCTGTGATGCTAACTTTGAGTATAAGTAGTTTGGGGCTTGTGCAAGGTGGGATGAGGAGTGAATGTTGTGAATTCTGTTAATAGCATGTGAGCTTAGGGAAATGTTTTAACATGTCTATGACTCAACTTCTACATCATAAAGTGGGAGTAATAAAAGGCATTTGTGGGAATTATGAGTTAACACACACACCACACTCAGATCATTGCAGCAATGAATGTCAGCTTCCCATTCCTTGCCCAGTTAGGGGATTGAATCTTTAAGTATAACCTATGTTCCGGCAGAAACTGTCTTTGAACAACTTTGGTTTTTGTTTTGTTTTGTTTTTCACTCTGTTATGTAGCCCAGGCTGGCCTCAAATTTGACAGTCCCAGACTCCTGGGTGCTGGGATTATAGGCCCAGGTACCAAGCCCGACTGGGTTTGTTGTTGTTGTTTGTCTTCTTTTCTTTCTTTTGTGGGACTGGGGTTTGAACTCAGGGCTTTGCGCTTGCAAAGCAGGCATTCTACCACTTGAGCCACACTTCCAGTTGTTGTTTGTCTGTTGAAGATTTCCTTGCAATCTGTTCCCCAGAGTAGTATAAGTGGTCATGGCACATTTTCATGACATCTCCTGAATTGTCAGGTCATGCTCAGAAAGATTGTGTCAGATTCCCCAGTCTCCAGCCAAGCCAGATCCCAGAGCCCTGCCATCAGTGACTGAAATTTCATCTTGCCAGCTTCAGAATCCCTAGGATATAGTGTAGAGCTGAAGCAAAATGGGAGTAGGGACATTGCAGATTTATTGTCTCCTGAGAAGTCTGTGGCTGCAGGGTCCAGTTAAGGTAACTTTGGAAGCATTGCACCAGGAAAATGAACGTGCTTGGACTTTTTTTTTTTTTTTTTTTTGTAGTGCTGGAGATCAAACCCTAAAGTCTCACTTGAGCTAAGCACAAGATCTACCACTGAGTAGCTGTGCGACATTCCCATTCTAGCACCTGGACTTACGACATCTCCTATGGGATGAGTCTTTACCACTGTGATATTCAGGAACCTTTAGAGCCCTATCAGCCCCAGACCACCTGAGCAAACCTGTGGTCCCACATAATCAGGGTTGGGGGTGGGCGGAGTTTAGGCAACTTTTACAAGAGGCAGTACAGTGTGCAAATGGCTAGCAGGTCTGGTCTGCTAGGTGCACCTGGTTCTGACTCCTTGAGAAGCACAGTGTTGAGCAGCTGTGGGAAGCTGCTTGGGTTGGGGTGGAGAGGCTGCATTGTTTCCTTCCTCCTGCTGTAATGTCAAATGGCAATGTGTCTGTTGATCTGTGGTTTGGGGGACAGGGTTTCTCAGTGAGGACGCTCTTCACTTAGAAGAGGGGTGATGATAATAATTTACAATGCCCTTGTACTCCTGTCCACTTGCCACTGGTTTTCTCCGTGTCTGCCACCCTGGTCTAGATTGGCAGGCAGATTTGCACTTTCTCGGTGTAAACTTACTTTTTTACTTAAGTACCATTTTCAGAGCCACCCTTACCCTCAACTCAGGAGACTGGACCCACCAGGCGTTGGAGGCTGCCTGCAAGCTTGTACTCCGTTTCCCTGAACATTCACCAGCACCGGCCGCACCCCAGCACCCAGGGCACTCCCAGAAGAGGACAGCTGGTGACCTTGTACAGGGCAAGGGACGCCAGCCCCAGAAATTTCAGAAAGTCCCTGAACAGCAGGACCCCCCTCCCTGACTAACCTCCCCAATCCCGTGCCAGAAGCAGCCAGGAGTTCTGCTCCCTCTAGTCGCTTCCTACTTTTGTTCCTCGAGGAGGCAAATCTCAGCTCTTTGGAGACCGAAACTAGGTCACTTGAGCTTCAAATACACCGCATTCCCCATCTACGCGACATTAAGCCAGAGTTAAAGCCCCTCCTGGAGGCCCCACCCATAGAGATTTAGAGTCACGCCCCTCCCCGTGTCTCTGCCTCCGCTGGACCGGAGGTCCCTTACCGCGGCGCGGCCATGCCCCCAGAAATTCCGCAGACTCTCCCCGCTACGCGGCCACGCCCCCAGCAACACGAGGCCCCTCCTCGCGGCATGGCCACGCCTCCCGCGCAGTGCGCAGGCGCGGCCGGAGCCAGCGTGCAGACGCCGCAGTCCTTGGCGCCAGAGACGGTGCAGCATCCCTGGTGTTGGTGTCTCCTTGTGCGTCTCGTTGTCCACACCCCAGTCCTCCCGCTCTGCCGGCACGATGGCGAAACCGCTGACTGACATCGAGAAGCGGAGGCAGATCAGTGTGCGAGGCCTCGCGGGGCTGGGCGACGTGGCCGAGGTGCGGAAGAGCTTCAATCGGCACCTGCATTTCACTCTGGTCAAGGACCGCAACGTAGCCACGCCCCGCGACTACTTCTTCGCGCTGGCGCACACGGTGCGCGACCACCTGGTGGGCCGCTGGATCCGCACGCAGCAGCACTACTACGAGCGCGACCCCAAGGTGAGGCGGTCGGCCCCGCTGTAAGAGGGCCTAGACCACCTGCCCGGGTCTCTTAGGTAGGGCGGGGTCCCGGCTGCAGGGCATCCTGCCGCGCCTCTGCCCAACCACCCAAAAGGGCAACCTCTGGTCTTGGTCCCTTTTGAGCCACAGTCTTCTGTGAACTGACAGCAAAACAGTGCATCCTCCCGGAAAGACGCATGTATTCTCAATGCGCCGGGGTGTCGGTCTGATTTGAGGGTCACCTTTGCCCATCTTCCCTAGCTCCGGTTCCCCCACACACACCCACGCCCACCGATGACCTACGTAGTCGCTTCTAGCGGAGGATAGCTTTTCGTGGCCCCCCTGCCTCCTCCATCGCATTTCCCCGGAGGTCAGCTGCTATGACTTTTCCTGCCGAATCTGCCCCGCACAGCTCCGGGCAGGGCAGATTCGAACTGTCGCCTGGAATCCGTGGCATTCCAGGGCTGTAGAGGCCCGGTCCTCTGCGCAGTGCGGAGTCCTCGGGACCTTTTCACTAGGAGCTTGCCCCTGCCGCAGAGGTCTGCTGCTGCCCGCACATCCTACGTCCGAGTCCTGGTGGAATTTTCCGGGCAGTTTTTAGCTGTGCGCTTCCGTGATGGCAGCACAGTTGGTGTTTCCTCTCCCGTCTCCCCTTCCGCTCCTCCTTTTGTCTTTCTGCAACAGCGAGTGGGGAGAAAAGTGGTCTGGAATCAGGCCTTATAGTTTTATGGATTGGAAAGGGTGAGATTAGTAATCTGCAGGGAATTATGGGGCTTTTTTTGGCGAAATCAATTAGAAGAAAATCATTGTGATGCCTGCTTAAAGCAAAAGAGATCCGAAGCTCAAGAGATGGAACACTCAAGAGAAGGCTCTGCTTTTGAGGTTCCTGCACCTTCTCTGGAGAAATTTGCTCTGGTTAAAGTTTACTGAGATTGCTTTAGTAATTGTTACTTTTTATATTTTGCAAAATTTTGTTTCCAATAGAAAAATTCAAAATGTATCGAGGAAAGTCGGTGATACACCCCATTATTCTTAACCATGTTAAAATGTAGGTGCCTCCTTCTAGATCTTTTTCTAATCCCAAATATCAAGTATGTGTATTTGTATAGAATATGCATATTTGTATGCTTAATTTTGTGGTTTTTCTGTTTCATTCATAAACATTTGTAACTTTTTCACTCATAAACAGCTTTCCAAGTCAGTAAAAGCATACTTGTTTTCAAATTGTTTGGTGTATCATAGTCTTGGGCAGCCTCCTATTGGCAGTTTTGCTTTTTGCTCTTGACCTGGAGAATTGTGTCTTTCCTATCCTAATGCAGGGTGAAAACTGGCAAGGAAAAGGCACTGCAGGTCCGAGGGCGGTTAGCAAAGATTTGATTTCTTTAGGCACCTGGGCACTGGGGAGTTGCTTTTTTGATGAGATTTTTGGAGTATTTTTGTAGGGCACTAAGATATGTTTGATAATTGCTAAGAGTAAGATTGATTGCTTTTCCAAACTCATTCTGTAACTCCTTTTTTCCTGAAATAGAAGATGGTAAAAAGGACAGACCTGTTAGAATACCAATTGGGCCTCTTCATTTTTAGTATGCAAGATAGCTTAGGAAGAAGTGGCACCAAATGGCTAAAACAGGTTATTACAACAAGGGCTTAGGATGACTGCCAGGGAAACTAGCCAAGAGGCAGTGGTTCCCCAGAATCCCTTGCTCTGATGCGCAGATTCATTTGTATTGTCCAACCAACAGATGACAAGGACACAGCTTTGCTTGCACATTCAAGGGCATTTCCCAGGACGATACCTTAGGGCTCCTGTAGTGCTGGGCCCAAGGATTAAGGAAATGACCTTCATGGACAGAATCAGCCTCATAAACAGAGGCTCAGCAAGAGGTCTGTCTTGATTGTCTGCTGCAGTGGTTATTGGTGCAGGCCTTTCTCTTTTAAAGAAACCACACAGCTTCTGATAGGAAGGCATTTAAAAATTGAAAGTTGAGTCAGGCGTGGTGATGTGCACCTGTAGTCCTAGTTACTCCAGACGGTGAGGCAGGATGATGGAGAGTTCTAGGTCAGCCTAGGCAACATAGTGAGACCGTGTCTTTTCAGAAAAATCAGAGCTGGGTGCCAGTGGCTCACGCCTATAATTCTAGCTACTTGGGAGGCTGACATTGGGAGGATTGCAGTTTGAGGCTAACCTGGGCAAATAGTTTATGAGACCTCCCCATCTCCAGAATAACTAGAGCAAAACAGATTGAAGGCTCAAGTCGTAGAGCATCTGTTTTGCAAGCATAAAGCTCTGAATTCAAACCCCAGAACCACAAAAAAAAAATCAGGAGCTGGTGTGGTATAGCACAGTGGTAGTCCGTTTGAGGCTCTGGGTTTAATTCCCAGAACTGGAGGGGGAAAAAGTGGAAAGTTGGACTTTAAGTGCTTCTCTGGCTAATTCTTGATGAAAATATACTCACCATCTCCCTTCTTTGCAAATATCTCATATTTGCTGGTAATGGACCCGAAACTAGCCCACCAGAGCCTATGAAGGATTTCAATAAAAACTTGTAGAGCCATACCCCCCCAAAGCCCTAGAAATAGACTGTAGCAGTATGACATCATATTGGATAAAACAAGGCTTTTATTATTTTTCTCTTTTATTTATGTAAGTCCTTATGATTACTGGAGGGAAAATTAGAAAACACAGATAAACCAGTAAGAAAAAATTAACTGTAGACTCACCACCTAGAAAGAACATTGTGAATGATATAAATATTTTGTATTCTACATCTTCCTCCCCCTTCCTCCACTTTGGTGGTCCTGAGGATTGAACTCAGGGCCTAGCACCTGCTAGGCAAGTGCTCTATGATTTGTGCCATACCGTCAGCCTGTTTTGCCTTATTTTTTCAGATAGGATTTCATTTTTGCCTGGGACTGATGTCAGACCTCGATCCTGCTATTTATATCTCCTGAGTAGCTGAGATTACAGTCATGCACCATCATACTACACTTGTTTCTTGCTAACTTTAAATAATTTTCTTAGGATGTATCATTACGGGAGGGATCGTAGTGCAGTTCCGGTTAGACCTATAGTTACCTGAGTTACCTTGCTCCCAGCATCTTTCCCCATCAGCCCCTTCCCTGTTGCTGACTTTTTGCCCAAGCTGGCCTTGAACCAGATCTTCCTGATCCCTGTACATCTTCTTTTCTGTGCTGGTAGAAACACTGGTTTTTATTACATAAATTAGTATTGTGCTGAGCCTATTGTTTCATAACTCTTTTCATTCTTTATTTTTAGTAATAGCAGAAATAAATTTGCAGCGCTCAGAGGAAGATTTTTTAATTTAATTTAATTTTGTTTTTGAGACAAGGTCTTGCTATGTAGCCCAGGCTGGCCTTGAACCCACTATTCTCTTGCCTCACCCACCATGCCTAGCTTTCAGAAAAACATTTTTCAAGTAACCTGCCTGGCAAATCACGAAGTCAAAATTTCTGGCTAATATTGGGAGGTCTGTGTTTGGTGAGATGCCACGCTTAGTTATAGACACGTCATAGATTCTCTGCAAGGTCTAGAGTGAAGTCTGGCCTGAAACTGCAGTGCCTGGATTACACCCAAGGCATGGGCAGAATTGCTGTTGGTAAGGGAGGATCCTACCTGAGTCATATTCCCCTGACAAATTTTTTTCTTGGTGCTGGGGATTGAACCTGGGAACTCATGCATGCTAAAGCATTCAACAATGAACTACACTCTTAGCCCTAAACTCCTTTTTGTCCTGGTTTTACCAATCTTCTTTACTACTATGGGTTTCGGTGGGTTTCTCTATCTCTGTCCCTCTCTCCCTCCCTCCTTCCCTCCGTCCCTCCTTCTCTCTCTCTTGCTCCCACCTCCCTCTCTTTCCCCTCTCTCCTCCCCCTTCTCTTCCCTTCACCACCCCAGGTCAGGCTGACCTGGAACTCTCCACTCTTTTGCCTTAGTCTCCCAAGTGCTGAAATTACAGGCATCACCACCATATCCATCTGGATGGATTTCTTAACCTTTCTTATCCTCCGGAAAATGAGGGAAGCTGAGTTAGATAACCTATTTCTGAGATTTCTTGCCATTTTAACATGTTATGATTTTGTGTCTGCTTATAAAATATTTAAGTTTTATATTGACATTCCATCTCTATTTAGAAAGAATTTGAAGCTGCTGAAGCAAGGTGTAACACAAAAGGTTCAGATTAATAGAAGGCCTCCTAGAGAAAGTTGGGGTGGGACAGTAAGTATAGAAGAGTGGGTTAAATTCAGGTGCAAGGACAGGACACAACCTTAGTGGCAGGTACAGAGTGATTCTTCAGACTTGTGGTAATTCTTTCACAACTCCCATGTCAGTCACTCCCTGAGGCTGCTCCTGGGGAGGCATCTGATGCTCCAGTAAAATTTCAGTGAAAGTCCATGCTAGGGTGGATGTAGTGGTTGTTCTCGACTTCCCTTTCTGAGATAACCCACTTTCACCTCTGAAAGTGCCTCTTCTATTCCAGTAAACTACACTTTCACTACATTCTGTGTCTTGTATGAATTCTCACCAGATGGAAGAACTGAGATAGCTGTGCTGACCCTCCTGTAACAATGTCATTCCAAAACATCTTTACAGAAACATCTAGAATAATATTAATATCTGTATAGTGGCCCAGCCAAGTTGACATATAAAATTAGCCATCAAAACCTGTAAAAGTGAGGTCAGACTGTGTTCTAAGGTAAATCATGGTACATACTTGCAGGCAAGACTCACAGACATATAGGGTGTTAAGTGAATTAGAATCACTTCATGTAATAATTGTTTAATAGCTGTTGTAAGGTAGGCATTTAAAAGGTTTACATATAAAAAGATATGTAAATGAACTTGACTCATTTAAGACTCAGCTATCTAGACTGGAGGTTTGGCTCTAAGTGGTAGAGCACCTGCCTAAGCAAGCATGAGGCCCTGAGCTTAAACCCTAGTACTGAAAAGAAAAAAAAAAAACAACTCGCTTCCTTTGCAG